GTAGTAGTAGTAGTAGTCGTCGTCGTCGTCGTCGTCGTCGTCGTCGTCGTAGTAGTAGTAGTAGTAGTAGCAGTAGTAGTAGTAGTAGTAGCTGTGGTAGTGGTGGTAGTAGTTGTAAGCGTAGTCGTAGTCGCAGTCGTAGTTGTAGTACTCGTCGTTGTAGTAGTTGCCTGTCAGCCGAAGAGGGTCGGGAGGAGTAGGAGGAGTTAGTGGAGAATGCGGAGGTGTGTGCACGCAGCGGTCTCTACATATGTTCCTTGACATTTTGAGCAGTGTTTCTCTGGTCTTCGTCTGGGACCGCGTGGCATGGCACCTCGCAGCAGCCAACGGGGCAGCCCAGAGGTGGAGAGCGACCCGGGCTATGACGGCGAGGCCATCGAGAATACGCCTGGCCAGGACGACGTAGAGGACTACCAGCCCTCCTCAGGCGTAGCCGGCAAGATGGAAGAATCCGATTCAAGAGCAGCGGCACGATGCAGGAAGTATGGGCGCAAGACGTGTGAAGAGTAGGAAACGATACCGTTCACTCCGCTTGAAAACTACATACACGTCCAGGGCCAAGGAGCTGCCAGTATTTCCCACCGGCCTGGAGACGTACCACCGAGAGCCTGTTTGGCCGTCTTGCGCTGTTTTGGGGTTCTCCTGCGCTCTGATCGCTGTGGGTTTGCTTGGCAAGGCCCAGCAAGGCGCCTTGGGAGGCGCGCGGCAGGGCTGGGGGACCTCTTCCAAGGGCGTCCAGGGGGCCCCAAATCTTTAGATCCTGGGGAGTCCGGTTTGGGGGGGCGAGGGTTCTTCTCGCCCCCCCAGCGTGCAAAAATATAGGAAGAGGAGTCTACACACACACACACACACACGCACACACCCACACACACACACACGAACACACACGCACAAACACACACACACACACACACGCAGTCGTGCACGCAGACACACACACACAGACACACACACACACACACACACACACGCACACAGACACACACACACAGGTACATTCACAGACACAAACACACACACAGACACACAAACACACACAGACATACACAAAGACATACACAGACACAACAGACACACACACACACACACTGACACCTACACACAGACACACACTCACACACAAGCACACATACACACGCATTCCCTTTTCTATATTTTTGCAAACCGGGCCCCCCCACCCCCCCCCGGCCAGACCTTCCGGAATCCCTCGCTTCTGGGGCTCCTGGGAGCCCCTGCCGAGGGTCCCATGAGACCTCAGGGCTTTTGCGAGTCCCTGCCAAGTCGTGCAAACGAGCCGGCGGTAGCCCCAAGAGGTTCCAGCATGGCCTCCTGATGGCTCAAAAGGCTTTCCAAACACCCCAAAGAGCTCGAAGAGGAACCCCCAAGTGGGCTTCCAAATCCCAAACCCGTGCTTTTCTTAGGTGTTTGCATTATTTTGGCATTATGTTTTTTTCGTGCTACCGACGGCCCAGGAAGGCCCAAAAGGCCCCAAACATCGCCCCAGGACAACCCATGACGGCCCGAGAAGGCTCCAAGACGGGCGAAGATGCCCCCACGATCCCCGAAGAAGGCCCCAAGACGGACCTTCAGACCGCCACCAGGCGCGAGCTCTCCGGCCTTAAATGACCCACGAAATTGCCAACAGGCGCCCAAACGCCCCAACCATGGTTCACGAGATCTCCAATAAGACCGAAAATCAACCAAAGGGGGCTCCAAGTTATTTCCCAAACCAGCATAGTTTCCGCGACGACCCCGAGACGCCTCCCCACAGACCCAAGCACATTGAAGAGACCTTTGACGTACGACCCTGCATTGGCGCCCTCGTCCAGCATGTCCACCAAATATGTCCGAATCCCAGTTTCGCGACGTTCCCTCCAGGCAAGTGGGTAGGAGGAGGAGGAGGAGGAGAAGGAGGAGGAGGCGAAGGATGAGGAGGAGGAGGGGGGAGGAGGAGGATCGGGGAGTGCCAAGGGGGATCACCACTAGGGGCGGTCACCACTTCCTTCGTGGACCGCAGAACGAAGAAGGGGAAGAGGACACATTATGGAAGGATCACGAATGGCATTATCATGAGGACGATGTCGGACAAGACGACGAGGAGTTATCGCCATTTTGTATGCTTTACCTTCCCGCCCTTCCGCCGCGACTTCCGCCCCCTCCCGAACCGCCTCCAAGAGGCATCCGGGAAGCCCCCCAACAGATCCTCACAGGCATCCAGGAGGCCCCTGACCCACAACCAGGCACGGTGGCTGGCTGGACCGAGAAGGATATATATATATATATATATATATACATACATATATATATACAAGATATACAAGATTGCAGTGGCGCTTCGCGCCATGCACCTTGGTCCTTGAAATTTGGTATGCAGGCGGAAATGGCAGGATGGTCAAGCCGACAATTTAGCGATAACTCCTTGCTGCCTTTTCTGGCATCGCCGTTGTAATAATGTTGTTCGTTATCCTTCCTCCATGTTTGTTTTTCCTCATTCTCGCCATACCCTGGGCATTCTCCCCATCCTCCTCAGCTCTTTCTGCGGAGGCTCCTCCTTGGAGAGCCTCTCGGGGCCTCACCAAAGTCCTCGGGCTTTCTTAAAGCCTTCTGGAAGCCTCCTGGGCGTGTTCTGGGGGCCTCTGGGGCTTCCTAAGGCTAACCTGCCTCTAACCACGGTCTCCCTGAGCGCCCCAGTCACGATTTGGAATGCTTCGGAGGGTGTCTTGGGGCCATCTTGGGCCGCCATGGGGCTCTCTTAGGGCCATCTTGGACCCGTGTTGTGCCGTTTTGGGACTCTCTTGGATTGCCTGGAAGCCCTTTCGGATGGTTGCGGGGCGATTTGGGAGCCTCCCAGGCGGCTTCGGACGCCCAGGAGACCGCCGTCTTGGAGCGTCGGGAAGCCGAAAAGAGGAGAACCCCAAATGCACAAAACACCTGCGTAAAATCAATTATGTTTCCCTCTTGGGGCCTTCTTGGGGGTGCTCTTGGAGGCCTCTTGGTACGTTTTCGAGCGATCTTTCGGGGTATGACGGCTTCTTGGAGCGCTCTTGTGCTGTCTTGGGGGTCTCTGGGACGTCTCCGGTGACCCCCCTGATCGCCCTGGGTGTGCTGCGAAGGCTTGGCAAAACGCCCTGCGAGGCCCAGGGGGCCGCTTCGAGGCCCGTCCAGAGGGTCCCAAAGCTGCAGATCCCGGGGGTCCGGTTTTAGGGGGGGGGGGACGGGTTTTCCCCCCGCCCGGGCTTATAAAAATATAGGAAGGGGAATCCATATATATATATATATATATATATATATAATATATATATATATATATCTGTGTATACAAGACTGCGAGGGCGCTTCGCGCCGCACACCTTGGTCCTTGAAGTTTGGCGTGCACGCCCGCGCGCGCGCGCGCTCCGCGGGCGGCGGCCGCGCAGAGGCTCCTACGTGCCCCCGTGGGTGCCGCCGACCCCTGCCACGCCGGAGCCGGAGGCCCCGCGCGGCCGGGGGCGGGCGCCCCAAAGCCCCCTCGTTGGAGCAAGGGACACAATCACGGCAGGAGGAGGAGGAGACCAGGGAGGAGGAGGAGGAGGAGGAGGAGGAGGAGGAGAGGAGGAGGAGGAAGGGAGGAGGAGGAGGAGAGGAGAGAGGAGGAGGAGGAGGAAGGAGGAGGAGGAGAGGGAGGACAAGAAGAGGAGGAGGAGGAGGAGGAGGAGGAGCGGAGGAGGAGGAGGAGGAGGAGGAGGAGGAGGAGGAGGAGGAGGAGGAGGAGGAAGGAGGGGAGGGGGAGGAGGAGGAGGAGGAGGAGGAGGAGGAGGAGGAGGAGGAGGAGGAGGAGGAGGAGGAGGAGAGGGAGGGGAGGAGGAGGAGGAGGACCTCCGGGCATGGGCCCGGCCGGGATCGGCGCAGGCGCGTCTCCTGAGTCTCCTGTGGCCCTGGCGTGGCCTCGCCGCCGATGGTCTTTCAGGCGATCGCAAACATGGATTAGCAACGGGTCCCGTGTCCATGGGGAATCGCTGAGGTTTCCGCCGCCGAGCGATGCGGCACCGGCCGCATTTGGGGGAGGGCACCGCCCCCGATGCATGGATTTGGCGACCGCGCGCCAAATCCATGGATCGCTAATCCATGTTTGCGCGCCCCCGATCCGGAGGCCCCTGCCGGGCCTCAGGGCCGTGACTCGGGATGAAAAGCCGGTCCCGGGGAACAGGTCAGAACTTCTGCGGGGTCGATGTGATGAGAAAAACTCAGGACGTCGGGGCTCTGGGGCCGGCGGCCGACGGGGCGATGAGGGGGCCCTGCTGTGGGGGGCTATACAGTCAGGAGGGAAAAAATCACACAGACACAATGAGTCGTCGATTCCTCGGGAACTATGGGAAGTATGGGGGGAACGATGGGAAATCCGAAAAACAAGGAAACAAAAGGGTAACCCTGGGATGTGTGTGTATTTATTCGTGTGTCCCTGGGCCCCTGCATCCAGGCCTCCCAGATGGGGTCCGGGTATCGGGGGACAGGCGCAGGACTGAAGTTCTGTTCGCAAGTGCCACCGCGCAGAGCACCGTGGACAGTACGCGGGGTAGGTCCGCGAGCGCGCGAGGCAGTCAGCAAAATCTGGGGACCACGTTGCTGGCGAAGGTCCGCATACCTGAGTGTATACGTGTGCGGCTCCCAGAGTAGTCAGACGGGGTAGGGGGATCGCGCCGCATAATAAGGCCTGGCTCAAGAATAAGGCCTGGTGGGGCGGGCGGGCTACTCAGTCCGAGTGGGGCTGTACCCGCTTAAATTCCCGATCGCACCTGTACCCCCTTAAATTCCCGATCCCTCCACAGTCAGCAACATGGCGTGCGCGCATCTGGCGTGCCCGTTCTTCGGCGCGCTCCCGGCGTCAGCCGACGAGCAGGGCCGATGCCGGCGCTGCGGCCAGGCGCTGCCCGGCGCTGCTGCTACCGCCGTTGCGGCGGCCGGGCCGCCGATGCCGCCAGGGCTTCCCGCTCCGGGCGCTGGCTCTGCGGCGGCGGCCCCAGCGAACATGGACACTGGCGCTACGCAGGGCATGTCGGCTCTGCGGATGGGCGCGGACGAGGACTCGGAGGCGGGGCACTTGGAGGCCATCGAGGTGGACGACGACAACATCGCGAGGACGGGAGCCTCTGCTGCTGCTGCTGGGCCCTCCTCGGCTCCCGGTCATCTCGCGCCTGGGCTCACAGTCTCTCTTCGGGACGAGCTCATGGTGGACTTCGTCGAGGAAGAGGTCATGGTGCACCTCCCCTGGGTCGCTGCGGCGAACGCGGGGCAGGCCGCCACCGGTAGCCCAGCGGTCTTCTACCCGACATGTTGGGCGGACCTCCAGGGCATTTTGCAGAAGTTGGGTTACGGAGTGACCGCCGAGGAGGCCTGGCATCTCCTGGGCCTGGCGATGCTCGATGGTCCGGACCCGTCGGAGCTCATGATTGCCAACAGGCGCCGCACGGCCGAGCAGCTCTGCGAGCTCGCTGTGGCCCCTCCATGGGCGGATGGGGATCTCGCCCTCGCGCGGGGGTTCGCTGCCAAGGTCAACGATGCGGCGGCGACTTGCGTGTCTGCGCTGCCCGTGGCTCTGGCCCAGCGCCGGCGTCTCAAGGTGCCACGGCTCCCCCTCCACAAAGAGCTGGGTGCAGTCGCACTGAGTCTTCTTTCGAACAATCTGCCGGGGGGGACTTGCATGGCCACTCAATGGTCTGGGATAGCTCCAGACGGCCTCGGACATTTCCGCCGCGCGACGGTTGGCGGGCTGGGCGGAGAAGGGGGATGAGAGCTTCTGGGCGCAGGTCACTGGGAGGCAGGTGGCACTATGGGCCCCCACGGACCAGAATGCGCTCACCAGGTTCCTCTCCCAGTTCATGCGTCGCACGGCCGCGGCAGAGCGCCCGGCGGCCCTCTACCTCCTCGCCCCCGTGCCGCTGCAGGCAGGCATGGGGACACTGGAGACAGTTCTGGACCTCTGGCACTCCCCGCTCTTGTCAGGGAAGTGGCCCCCCATCGTGCGGGCATACACGCTGACCTTGACACCCATGGAGATGCTGCTTCCGGGCGGTGGGTTCCCGCGTCACGTGTACCAAGGCCTCGCGGTCTTCCATCTTGGCCACACGGAGCCGCGGGGGCTCCCGCGCTTGCTGGAGCCGCACGCCGCCATCTGCACCGTGGAGGCGCCCAGGGTGATGGTGTTGGACCTCCGGGCAGACGAATACAACCGGACCATGAACCTTCTCACGAACAGCGTCTTGCAGGGCGTCCTCAGCCGCGCACCGCGGCGCAGCCCATTGAGCACTACGGCGATTCCTCGCCTCTGCTTGGACTGGATATTGCCTCCAACAGTCCAGGACATGGACATATTTCTCGTTCTCCGGCATGGCCGTGGGGAGTCATTAGCTTCAGACACCTTTTACGGCCTCCGCTCCATGGTCGGACACGGGGAGGCGCTGCTCCTGGAGTTCTCCTCCAAGCTCGCGGTGCCGCACTACTGGCCGCTTTGTTCCCAGCTGGTCGCCATCTCGCCCAGCAGGGTCGTCGTGTACACGGAGGCGGAGCCGGAGACATGGACTGGCAAGATGGACTATGTCATGCACAACGACGTGGAGGAGACATCTGTCCGGCTACGCTGGCGGGCGTCCAAGCATGGAGGCAGGGTGGTCGCGGCGCCGTCTGCCACCTCCCGCGGGCTGGCGGCTTCGCGGCGACGCGGCACAGCACCTCTCTCCCTCCACGACTTCCAGACCGACGTCGTCATCCAGGGGGAGGTGGGGAAGGAGGACGGCCAGGTCCTCAGGGTGCTGATGACACACGTGATTCAGGCCACGGGGCTGACGATCAACGAGACGGACTATCAATGCGCACCGAAGGTGGGGGAGTACATCCACCTAGCTACCCAGGACCCCGCCGCCCAGCCAGGCCGGCTGCGGGTGCTCCTCTCGTCGATTGACGACGTCCGCAAGCTTCACAATGCCCTCCACGGTCAAACCGTGAAGGTGGGGCTCGACAGGATCGGGGTGATGGTCTGTAACGACTTGTTGGAGAGCCGCGGAGTGCCGGGAAACGGGCAGCGGAGCCGGGCCTGAGTACCCACCGGTTCCATGACCCCGCAGGGTACTCTGGACACTTGCATGGTGGAATTCAGTATTGGGATGCTGATGGCTCCACGGGCTTCCTCATCGAGGTCGTGTGGTTTCTCCGCGCTGTGCCTACAGCGTCGAGCAGCCAGCTCCGCCACGAGATGGAGGCCATGCTGGACACGCGGCCGGTTTGTCATTCGGAGCTTCCGCAGCCTGTGAGTTGCGTTTCCTCCTCTTCTTCCTTCTCTCGCCCTACGAATTTAAGAATTTCGCCGAATTCGAATAATTTAAACGTTGGCGTTTCTGACCCAGTTTTTTCAAGTGCCAGGTGTCTGCCAGTACTGCCACCTTTGGCATACAGTGCGGAGGACATCCTCCCTCGCGATCCGGACGCTCTCCTGCGCCTGGACATGCCGATTGCGCTCTACCGGAGACAGCGGCTCCTGCGGGCATTGGGGTCGCTCCCGAGGACGACTTCTCTTCCAGCTGCACTCCCGCAGGTCCGTCCGGCATCTCCGGCGATGTCCAGGCCAGGGCAGTTTCAGGGTGAGTTCAGCGCGGCCACTTGGAACGCCCAGGCCTTCTTCTGCTCCGATGAGGGCCGATTCCGCGCCAAGGTTGCCTACGCGAGCCGGCTGCTGGAGCGGGCATGCATCTTGATGATCACGGAGGCGCACGGCACGGACGGTGGCAACCGAGCGTGGCGGCCTCCCATTGGGACCCGGACGTGGTGGTCGGCTGGCCCCTCCCCAAGCAGCGCTGGTGTCGGCGTCATCGTGCAGCTCAGCTTTCTGGCCCAGTTTCAGGCTGAGCCTCGGTGGAAGGTTATTTGGCCTGGACGGGCCGCGATCCTTTCTCTGCGAGGCGCTGCAGGAGCGTTGGACATCGTAGTCACGTATTTCCACACAGGCAGCACTGTCACCGAGCTGGACAAAGTTGGGGTGCACCCCAACTTTATGGAGTACTGCTCGACTTTCCCGCACCTCCGGGAGCACATGCGGACGCGACTGGCCAGGGCCATCCAACCTCAGCATAGGGTGCTCACGCTCCTGGGCGGGGACTTCAACTGGGCGGCTCTTGAGACAGACCGCCGGTGCGTGGCCACGCTGCAGCCTACGGGCGGCCGCGACGACGGGGGGGAGAGGAACTTCCGGCTTTCAATCGGTCAGCGGCACGGGCTCGAGGAGCTCTTCCAGCCGGAGATGACGCACGTGTGTGCCACGGCCTCCTCGCGGCTTGATCGCCTGTATCTCAATCACCACGCCTCGGAACAGATCGACCGTGAGTTACAAGTGGTGGCTTTGGAATGGAGGCGCGACTGATCGGCGCATCGGGCCGTCCTGGCGGCCCGGCGCATCCCAGTCAGACTTGATGCGGCGAGGCGGCCTGTTGCCAGGGCGGTGTACATGCATCCCGATTTCCCTCGCCGCTGCGCTTTAGCCTTCCAGGAGCTGCTCGTCGCTCACCCAGGAGCATCCAGGTTGGAGCAGCTGCCCCTCCTGAAGGAAGCAATGCGGGGGGTGGCCGAAAACTTCGGCGCCCCCACTGTGGGCCTCCCATTGGCGGAGAAGGCTGAGGACAAGCTCGGGGCGGTCATGGGATTCATCCGGGCGTCGGAGCTGGGTTTCCTCACGGACATTTCGCACTGCCTGCTGCGGTACCCTCACATATCCTCCTTTGTGGCGAACCCCTACGACCTCCAGGGCAACTTGACGACCTCCCTCCGTGCTCTCCGTGACCATGCAGTGGAACTCGCCCGGGAGGCCGCGTTGGGTCTGCTCCTGGAGGCTCAGGACGACGCTGCGGAGGGAGACGCGCTCCAGGTGAAGCGGAAGAGGCAGCGAGGCACGCGCTTGCTGTACAAGTTGGCGCCCGGTCGCAGCTCTGGCATTGGGGCCATCGTCGACGAGCGCGGCAACGTTGTGACAGGGGCGGCCGAGATTCGGCCGGATGGCGATGGGGGGATCAGGACATGGGGGGATGAGTATCCGGTACCGTTTTGTTGGGGTACAATTTGTACCTTCTCTTCGGGTTGCAAGTACAAATTGTACCTTCTCCCCCCCCGTTAACATCCTCGCACATGTCGCGGACGTTGTCAAAAGTACAATGTGTACCTTGTTTGCGTGGCGTCGGTACAACTTGTACCTTCTCCGTGGGGCGTAGGTACAATTTGTACCTCGGTTGCGCCTCTCTCCCCATCTGGACTTATCCCCCCATTTGCATCCCGCCAAGAGATGGCGAGCGTGCTTCGGCGGCATTGGGCAGAGATTTTCCGGGAACGCGGCGTTCGGCAGGATCGTCTCGAGGAGTGGTTGGTCGATGACGCCGCCGACCGGGAGCGCCAGGGCCCTCTTCATGCGGCGGTGCACGAGCTCCGGCTTACACGCCAACACGTTCTAGAGGCCCTCCGACTGTCCAACGACTCTTGCCCAGGGCCAGACGGGCTACCCTACGGGGCATGGAGGGCATTGGACGACGTCGCGGTGAACGTGTTGCACGGTGCATTCGAAGAGATGGCGTCCGCAGCAGGGGAGGAGCAGGTCCGGCAGCAGTACGCCGACTTCAACGAGAGCCTCCTCTTCTTCCCCCCCAAGGCTCTGGAGGGCCACTCGGGGGGTGAGGCCGCGGCCTTCCCTGCGAGCGGCGTTCGCCCGCTTAACGTGACGAACTGCGACAATCGCCTCTTCGCCAGTGCAATTCGCCTGGTGCTGGAGCCCGCGATCGAGTCGCTCATTATCTCGGACCAGCGCGGGTTCCTGCCAGGACGTTCGATGATTGCGAACCTTCTAGACGTCGACGAGGCGATGGCCCAAGTAGCCGCAGAAGGGGAGGAAGGCCTCGCTCTCTTTTATGATTTTGCGGCCGCCTTCCCTTCAATTGAACATAGTTTTTTTCCATAAGTTTTTTGCTTCGCTGGGCTGGCCCCCATGGCTCCCCCGAGCCATCGGCATACTGTACCAAGACAATTTCTGCTCCATCAGCCTGGGCGGAGCCCGATACCGCGGCTTCTCACTGACGCGGGGCATCCGTCAGGGATGTCCCCTCTCTCCTCTTTTGTTCGCCATGGCCACGGACCTCATGCTGCGCAGGCTACGGAGGGTATCCCCTTCCGCGTGCACGCGGGCATGGGCTGACGACTTGGCCATGGTTGTTGGGGAGGGTTACAATCGCCTCCGCTGTCTCCAGTCGTTTTTTTCATAGATTGTGCTTTGGTTTCCGGACTCCACCTCAACGTGCGGAAGACGGTCATTGCACCGCTGTTCCGATACCAAGAGCAGGATGTTAGGGACGAGGTGGCCCGCCAGGCTCCTGATTGGGGCTCCGTCCGGATTGCGGGGGCTGCGAAATATCTTGGTTTTATGGTGGGCCCGGGGAGGGCCGCCAGCTCCTGGCAGGCTCCGCTGAGAAAGTACATAGATCGGGCGAGACTTTGGGGGCGCCTCGGCCTGGGATTTTTCTTATCTCTGCAGGCGTACCGAGTGTACATCAGCTCTGTGCTCCAGTTTGTTGGTCAGCTGGAGGACCTCCCTACTGATTTCTTCGTCCACGAACAGAGGGCATGCCAACTTTTGCTGCCAGGTCCGACGAGCTGGATGGTTTCACCCTGCCTTCGGGATTTGCGATCTCTCAGTTTTCCCAGCGAGCTGCCGGATATTGTCGCCACTGCTGCAGCTGCGAAGGCCCGCGTGGTGCGATTCGAAAATGCAGCCTACGGCGGCCTACGCGCGCAGGAACGTGCATCGCGCTTGCGGGATCTTCTGGCCAGTCCTGCCTGTTCCTTAGCTCATGCTGGATGGTGGCAGTCATGGGCCCAAAACTGTTTCTTGTTCAAGCTAGCCGCCGCCGACAGCGGTTTCCAGCGACGAGTTGCTCTCCTCCCCGCAGGGGGTGGCCTAGACTTGAGCGTACGGCGCGGCTGGCAGGGCAGGGTGACGAGTCTCTTCAGAGCGACCCCGCCCAGAGCTGCCTATGTCCACCTTCGCCGTCGGCTCGAAAGGTGGCCGCTACGGACCTTCCCAGGCCGTCGCGTGGAGCGCGCGCTGATAACTTTTCGAGTTCTGGGGCGGAGCGCGGCGCCCCGAGTCCAAGCCGCCTATTTGCGCACCCTGTGCGACGGGTGGTGCACGCGGCGTCGGTTTCAGAGTCGCTGTCCCTGCTCATTTGCCTGTGGCGTCGGCGACGACAGCCTAGCACATTTTGCACGCTGCCCGACAATTCGAAGGCTGACTGCATCCCAATTCGGTGGGCCAACTCCGGCTCCGGAGTGGGCCCTGGATTACTTCCTCTGCATGCCTCCGAGCAGCGGCTCGCAAGCGATGGGAGGAGATGCCCTCCTCCTGCAGCGCGCTCTCTCTCTCTACGCCCTCTTCAGGCTCCATAGCGGCATCCGGCATCATCAGTTTTCCCCCTCCGAGTTCTCGGGGGCGTACAATAGGTTTCTCCGCGAAGGGGCGAGGTAGCCTGTTGCCTACACTCTCTTTGTTCTCTCTCCTCCTCCTCCTTCTCCTCCTCCTCCTCCGTGCCCCCAGGTGGCCCCCTGAGGGCCTCCACCGGGCTCCAGCTGGCACCCGGGGTGGCTAAACAAATCAGCACGCATTTTGCACCGTCCTTCTCCTTGTTGGGGAGGTTGTTGTGTGGGCTGTGTGTTGTTTTTTTTTGCCTCTCCGGGTTCCTTTTGGCGCCTTTTTGGGGCCCTCCCGGGGACTTCCTGGGCCGGCCTCGGGGGTCGGCGGGCGGTTTTCTCGGAGCTAGGCTTGCAGGTGGGTGCGAGTTCTAGCTCATGCGATCGGCTGCGGAGCGCAGCATCCTTTTATACTTGCTTTCAACTTCGATCGTGCCGCGCTGTTCTGGCACTGGCTCGCTGGCGGCTGCCGCCTTGCGACTTCCACACTGGACGTGTGGGCACTCGTTCTGTCCGTTTGTCCTCCTCTCTTTCTTGTCGTCGTTCCCCCCTCTTCCCCCTCCCGCGTTTCCTCCAGAATGACGTTGTGCGCTTTTGAATTTTATACGTGGCCGTTCGGGCCGCTGGGGATGTCCGCACAACGCCCTCGCCCCCTCGTCTCCTCCTCGTCCTCGCTCTCCCCGCTTCTCTGCCCCCCCTGCCTGCGGGAAAATAGCCACATTTTGTTGCGCGTGCGTTCTCCTAAGCAGCGGCGGCCGCTTGCTTGCTGTGTTGGCTCCGTT